CAGGTAGGCCAGCACGTGCTGCTGCAGTCTGGGCACATGCACTCACATACAGTGGGAGGGTGTGGCATGTGGCCACAGCAGCCAGCCCCTCAACCTGCCCGGGAGCCTGCTGCCAGCCTCATGCCTGGCCACGTGAGTCCTGCTCCCAGGAGGTGAAGGAAGGAGGGCACAGTCAGCTGCAAGCAGGCTAGCCTCCAGGGTGGGAGCATCACCCCACACACGTGCCAGAGTGCTGATCACAGCACATGGGCATGCCTCCACATGAGAGGCAGAAGCCACTCCAACTTGATAATCCAGCTAGTGTCAGCTGTGTGTGTAGATCCCAGGAAGGGGAAAGCTGCTATCGGCTCCTCTGCCGCCCATGAGGGGATCCCACTGTGACCGTACACTTCCCTTCCCTGCCTGGCCCTAGTGTGTGTGCAGGGATGGGGCAGAAAGGACAGCATGGTCCTCTGGCCACCTCGGGGCCCCTGTGACACAGGGTGTGCTGTGCAGGCCACACACGCAGGGTGCACTGACTGCCCCCTCTCTTGTGTCTTCTGCACAACCGGGACGGAGGGCCCAGCCACACCACCACCGTAGCCACCTTCCAGAATCTGGGGAGCCACAGATGAGGCAGGCCTGAGGCGGAGTTGATGCACGAGCACATAGGGGTGATGCGCAATGTACACACCACCCTGTTGCACCAGCTGAACGCTCACCTGGAGTGGCGGCAGCAGGCCTGGAGGGTCAACACCCTGACCCTGGCACCTGCTGCCACTTGGGAGAAGGTAAGAGCCTCAGAAAGGTTTGGTACTGGTGCAGCCTGACCCACCTGGCGCTGGCCAAGCACAAGACCTGGGAAACACTAAGAGAAGTTGGGAGTATTATTTCCCCACATAGACCTTTGTCTCTTATTATCATTGAGGAAATTGGGATTTGTCTTTTGGGTTTCCCATTTCCCTGCTTCACACTAGAGAGAGGGCTGCACAAGGAGCTGGGACAGGTAAATGCTCTGGGAGTGATCCCCAGTGGTGACCTGAACCATCCCTGGGCTATATATGTGTGTGAGGAGTGGAACCTACAGCTTCCTGCCCCTCGGAGAGGGGATTGGCTGAACGGTAGAAAGGTTTCTACAGGCATGTTAACAAGAAGGTGGTGATCAGAGAGGGTGTGCGGCCCCTACTGGATGAAGGAGGTAACCTAGTGACAGATGATGTGGGGAAAGCTGAAGTACTCAATGCTTTCTTTGCCTCTATTCACGGACAAGGTTGGTTCCCAGACTAATGCGCTAAGTGATGCAAGATGGGCTGAAGACGGACAGCCCTTGGTGGGTAAAGAACAGGTTAGGAACTATTTAGAAAAGCTAAACGTACACAAATCCATGGATCCGGACTTAATACATCCAAGGGTACTGAGGGAGTTGGCAAATGTCATTGAGGAGCTTTTGGCCATTTTCTCTGAAAAGTCACGGACATCGGGAGAGATCCCAGATGATTGGAAAAAGGCAAATGTAGGGCCCATCTTCACAAAAAGGGAAGAAGGACGATCCAGGGAACTATAGACCGGTCAGCCTTACCTTGGTTCCTGGAAAAATCATGGAAGGGATCCTTAAGGAATCCATTTTGAGGCACTTGGATGAGAGGAAAGTGATCAGGAATAGTCAGCATGGATTCACAAAGAGCAAGTTCTGCCTGACCAATCTGATTAGCTTCTATGATGAGGTAACTGGCTCGGTGGACATGGGAAAGTCAGCGGATGTGATATACCTTGACTTTAGCAAGGCTTTTGATACAGTCTCCCATAATATTCTTGCCAGCAAGTTAAGGGAATGTGGCTTGGATAAATGGATGGTAAGATGGATAGAAAGATGGCTAGAAGGCCGGGCCCAGCAGTTAGTGATCGATGTCAGGATGGCGGTCGGTTTCTAGTGGAGTGCCCCAAGGTTCGGTTCTAGGACCGGTTTTGTTCAATATCTTTATTAAGGACCTGGATGAGGGGATGGATTGCACCCTCAGCAAGTTTGCAGATGACACTAAGCTAGGGGGAGAGGTAGATACAGTTGAGGGCAGAGATAGGGTCCAGAGTGACTTAGACAAATTGGAGGATTGGGACACAAGAAATCTGATGAGGTTCAACAAGGACAAATGCAGAGTCCTGCACTTGGGACGGAAGAATCCCAAGCAT